GCGGGATATCGATTACTTCACGTATTCGAACAACGCCGACGTCATCCCGCCTAGCGAGGCGTTGCCGAACTCGATATTCGTGTTCGACGATGTGGCCTGCGACAAACAGGACGTCGTGAGGGAATATTTCGCCATGGGGCGTCACGCGAAGGTCGATTGCTTCTATCTGTGCCAATCGTACGCTAAGGTACCCAAACATCTGACACGCGACAACGCGAATCTATTGATACTCTTTAAGCAGGACGGCACTAATTTGAAACACGTGCATAGCGATCATGTGAATACCGATATGCCGTACGAAGATTTTCACGCGCTGTGTCGCGCGTGTTGGAAATACCGATACGGTTTTTTAGTGATCGACAAAGATAACGCGCTGCGCAACGGTAGATACAGTCGAGGGTTCAACGATTACGCTGTGCCGTAGGGGCGAGCGTCGTCGCTGAGGACGAGTCAGTCGTCCCGAGACGGAGGCGATCATAGAGCGAAGAGAGAGAGAGATAAGAGAAGGCGAGACGCCGAGAAACGACGCGCGATGACGGACGTCGACAGACGCGAGAAAACCGCGATAGAGATAGCGAGAACGCGCGCGTCGATTTGCAGGAAGCACAGAGCGTTGAAGACCAGGATGGAGAGCCATAGCGCTCTGGAGACGCGTTTCAAACCGATCGTCGAACCGTTGCGGCGCATCGCCGAGCACATCGGAGACGACTCCGCGTGAGACGCGAGCGCTAGAAAGGAAGAACCGGCGAAGAGCGAGATCGGCGACGAGGCATTCGCGCGAGGCGTCAAGAGAACGGCGGCGCCGGAGGAGGAGGAGGAGGAGGACGAGAAGAGCGCGTTACCGTCGCTATCCGCGAAAGGATTCAAAGCTAAGCGATCTCAGCGTCTGGACGCGACGTCGGATTCGCGCGCGGCGACTTCCACGCCCGTGGGAGCGTCGGAAGTGTCTCCTGCGCGACAGCGCGAATTCGCGAGCAGAGATCTCGCGGAGCCGTCCGTCGAGGAGACGTTCGAGACGAGCGACGACGTCTTCGGATCGCCCGCGACGCTCGAAACGTCGGTGAGACGATCTCTGCGGACTCCTTCAGGACGAGATATCTTGCGCGATCAATTGGGTCCGTTGGCGCGGAAGTACGTGGGCGCTCTTCTCAGCGGTGGCGCGCCGAGCGATTTCGATCACGTTTACGGAGTCTACTTCGCCGATGCCGCCACTATGCTCGAAAACAAGTGATTCGACGTAGGTGTCGACGACGCGATATTCGTGGACGGAGTCAGATACGCCGGCACTCCCGGTCTGTACGAATTGATCTTCAAGAGAATTTCCGACGATCTCAAGTACACGGAGAGAGACAAAGCCGCGTACAGGAGCATACTTCTGCAAACTAACGCTCACAGGCGCGAGCACAATATTCGCATGCCCGTATTAGGAAACAAGGGATACAAGTACAAGCACGTCATAGCTCCGATCCTGCAGACGGACAGTCCGAGGAAGAGAATCGGCGGGGGTCGCGCGCCGTCGGCTATGCGCGTGAACCGTGACACCGTGGGCTACGTTCACTGGGACGATCCGAACGAATTAGTGGATCGTCTTCGATTGCTGGACGCTTCTCGTCAAGCCGGCAACAACGCTCGTGATCCATGATGACAACGAGATCCTGTCGATAATCGAGGAGCTTCGCGAGGCGGGCGAGATACTGTGAGATGATCGCGGAAGATCGCCGCGTTGACGCGCGCGCGCACACGCTCCATTCGACGACGCGATGTCCGAGCAAGTTAGGAGTATCGGTACAGAGAAGACGCGGACACGGCCGCGACGCGACAAGCGCTAGATTGTGCGCGAGCGTGGAATCTCTGCGAAATTACGTGCGCGATAACGCACTGTGCCTGACCGTCTCCGACGTCTCTCCCTCCGCGTCGCATTACGACGCGCGGCGTCTCAAGATACCAGGAGTGGCTTGGCCGACCGACGACGACGACGCTACGAACAAGAGTTACGTCGCAAGCGTTATACGCGCGGTGAGAACGGACGTGGCTAATTATGAGGGTATGATGATGCGAGTGCAGAACAGCGCGGATTTTTCCGAAGAAAGTCATCGCTCTGCACAAGAGAATTGACGCTCTCGAGAGCGCCGCGAACAAAAGATTGAGCGCCCTGGAAACCGACGTTACGCAGTTTCGCGCGACAGGGAGCGCTCTCGAGAATCGACTGCAAACGCTGGAGAATCTGCAGGAGCTCGCTGCGATGGAGATCGAGACCGGAGGCGGAGAGATCGGTCTCGCGCGCGGTCGCCGACAAGCGACTGAGCGATCTGGAGAGCTCCATCGAGACGAATCGGGCGAATGGGGACGCGTCGAGCAAACTGTTGCGCGAACTGGAGACCTCGATCACGCGGCTCGAGGAGATCGATGAGAAAACGGAGAAGCGACTGCGCGCCTTGGAGAGATCTCTGTCGCTCGTGAACAATGTAGCGGCGAACAACGAGAGAAATCGCGCCGCGTTGAGCGGTCACGATAGGACGCTGCAGGAGTTGACGACGAAGGCACTGACTTCTAACGCGAAATTGCGAGAACTGGACGCCGAGGAGTCGCGTCTGAAGAAAGACGCAAACGAACTCGCGAGGAGAACGGCCGCGACGACGACGACGGCGGCAGCGTCGGTGGCGGCTACGGCGGCTGCGATCCCTAGGACGATCGATCCGAATAAGGTGGTTATAAAACTGAACGCTAAAATTCTTAATAAGCAACAGTCGAAGAGAGGATAGAAAAAAATAGAGACGGCGAGATGAGCGCCGCGAAACGGAGATTCGTGAACGAACTGCACGCGCCCGCGAGAAAGAACTTCCCCCGCCGCCGCGTCGCGGTGCGCGGATACGACGATCTGCGGTGAACGGACGTCGTCGAGATGCGTCCTTACGCCAGACAGAACAGAAGTCACAATTACATACTCACCATCTTCGACGCTCTGAGCAAGTACGCGTGGGCGGTACCGCTCAAGAGAAAGAGCGGCGACGAGGTCTGTCGCTCGAGCTTTGTCGAGCGTGACGCGCGCCTCCGGACGCCGCCCGAGGTTTCTGCAGATCGACAAAGCAAAGGAGTTCTACAACGCTGTGAGGATTCATAGATAGACACGAAATCAATCACTACTCGACGTATTCGTTGCTGAAAGCGTCGATCGTCGAGCGTTTCAATCGCACGCTCAAGAACTCGATGTGGAAGTATTTCACGCTGAACGGAACGTACAAGTGGCTCGACGCGATGCCGCGTCTAATATTCAAATACAACGCTCGCAAGCATCGGACCATCGGGATGCGCTCGATCGACGTGACGCCCGCTCGAGCGTCGAGACTCCTGTCGACGGTGTACAGCCGCCCGAAGATCCCCGCTCCGGGAAAATTTCGACCGAACGATTCCGTGCGCGTGAGTAAGTACAAGACGCTGTTCGAGAAGGGATACACGTTGTGTTCGCGAGAAACGATAAAATAGCGGCAATACAGACGGCACGAAATTGAACATAGAATGCAGTGAACTGCACAACACGTATTGTTTTTTTTTATTAACAAAGCACTTAATAAATAGTATAAAATTAACAGAGCCACAAAGTGGTTTAACTGAAAGCGTATGCGAGCAATCGAAGTCCAAGAGAATAGCAGTCGTTATAAGCGGTTGTAATACAGCGATGTAACAAGGCGAAAAGCAAAACAGCACGACTTAGAAAAGTACAAGACTTCGCGGTGCCCACGTGCGGTGCTCGTTATATAGCAGGCAGAATTTTGGACCCGTTGCAACGTGGGCCAATAATTTTCATATTTTAGCGGTGACCTCAGAGCGCCGCACATTATTGGCCGCCGATGAGGTCATGAGTTGAAATTTTTACACTTGCCATGCGCACGATCTTTTTCGATCAGCTGATTGGTGATCAGCTGATCGTGACGTATGGGCGCGCATACCCGTATTGCTCAGATTTTGTCAACGGTTGACAATGTTATTGTCAACGAGCATGATAAGCGTTTCTTAGTCGTTGAAAAAATAGGAAATAAATCGACCGCTTGAGCTTTTGTAGAAAATAGATGTTTCGAGAAGTTTCTTGACGCCCGTTAATTTTAAAACTTCGAATTTATTAAATCTAAAGATGCGGATTTTAGTTACGCGAATTTGTTTATCGAAATGACGATTATGAGTTTCGAACATCTCGCCCGCCTCGTTAGTTCATGACGAAATTTGCGAGTGTGTGCGAGTACGGACAGGTGTCGCAAATGGTTCCGTTGATGAGTGGATCGCGATCAATGAATGAAATGCGATGGTGACGTAGCGTAATGACACGTGTTACAGCGGAGAATAGCGTGATTTGTGAGTGCGTGATCTTGGTGAGTGCAGTGAAAAGTAGTGATAGTGAACAGTGAGAATCGCGAGTGGAGTGCGGTGATGAGGTGAGCGTCAAGAATTGCACGCGATGAATGAAAGTAAGCGTGAAATTCCACGGTGACAAACTGCGCGTGAAAAAAGGACAAAATAAAACAGAGAGACTGATAACGCGGCTTGTGTGTGAAGTTTCGAGAGTGAGAACGTGATAATACGCCGAGCGAATTTGTGAAATAGCGACGCGTGGCCTTAATTGATAATTACATGTCAACTCAAAAGACATATTAAATTTTACGCGTTTAAACGCGGTATAGTGTCGGTGGCCGGCAATAAAACAATTTTAGTGAGCGGCCGGACGAGTTCGAAAGAAGAGGTGCGCACGGTGACGACACATGTGACGCCGTCCTCTCCGGGATGCGTTTTGAGTATCTGGGCGAGTGGCCATCGAGTTGATGGAGTGATGTCCGAGCGGATGAGGCACAACGTGCCGACTTCTGGAGGGCGGTTGTCCTTGAACCATTTGGGACGAGATGTCATTGAGTGAATGTATTCCTGGGACCACCGCTGCCAAAAGTGATCGCGCATCTGCTGTAGAAACTGCTACCGAGAGTTTGCTTGGTGCCTCGTCGGCCAAGGAGGACTCAGGAAGTGCGAGCAATGGAAGAAAATGTCCAGGAGTTAGTGCGGACAAATCCTATAAGAAAATGTCCAGGAGTTAGTGCGGACAAATCATCTGGGTCATCGGTCAGAGCCTGTAAAGGACGGGAATTCAAGCACGCCTCAATCTGAGCCAGCAGGGTACTCATCTCTTCGAAGATGAGAGTGGTCTCCCCTATCACCCGTCGCAGGTGATACTTAGTGGACTTGACTGCAGCTTCCCAGAGTCCGCCGAATTGAGGTGCGGCGGGAGGATTGAAGCGCCAAGATACTCCCTCCTGGGAGCAGGATTGTGAGATCCGACGGCCGTCGGCAGATGAAGCGTGGAACATACGGCGAAGTTCCTTATCCACGCCGATGAAATTTGTGCCACAATCCGAGTACATCTCTTTGCACAGACCCCGGCGTGAGATGAACCGGCGGAATGCAGCGAGGAAAGCTTCAGAAGAGTAATCTGACACAACGTCCAGGTGGACTGCCCTGGAAAACAAACAGATGAAGACCACTACGAACGCCTTGTGGGCTCGATGACCTCGAGCCTTGCTCGTACGGATAAAGATAGGACCAGCGTAGTCGACTCCAGTTCTGAGGAAGGGACGTGCGGGTGTCACTCGTCCTCGAGGTAGGTCACCCATCAGAGGCTGAGGTGAGAGAGCTCGCCAGCGGGTGCACATTACGCACCGGTGAAGAACTCGCTTCACGGCTCGGCCTTGCGGAATCCAATAGCGGAGGCGCAGAAGTCCCAGGGTGAGTTGCACACCTCCATGCAATGTTCGACGCATGATTCCACCAAGAGTTTAGTCAGCCATGACATCGGCGGAACTATCATCGGGTGACGTTCGTCATAAGAAAGCATGCGTGTTTTAGCCGACCGCCGACCCGCAGTATTCCAAGGTCGTCTATGAATGGGGCCAGTTTAGCTAGGCGGCTGCGATGAGGCATTGGACGAGAATCGCGTGCAGCGGCGAGTTCGGAGGCGAAGTGGACTCCTTGGACTACCTTAAGCCACCGGAGAAGAGCCGCATCGATCTCGTCTGAATGAAGCGTGGCGTCATGGGCGTGGACAGTAGTCTTACGCCATCGGTGACACCAGGCTGAGACTCGCAAGAGCCTATGTAAGTTGGAGAATCGAAGGAGAATTTCCGGCTCGGAGTCGTTGCGATACGTGTTTACTGAAAGATGTATTCGCTTTTCAGGAATGCTCTCGAGAGAGTCGTCGCTGCTGTTGATTGGCCATTGAGTATGTTCCTGGCGTAGCCAGTTGGGCCCGGTCCATCAGAGAGGATGATTCAGGAGCTCCTTCGGCGAAATTCCCCTTAAGGCGCAGTCCGCGGGATTCTCTCGACCCGGAACGTGTTTCCAGTGAGCCTCGGGAAGCTTCTGCTGGATTGAAGATACTCGGTTGGCTACATATGAGATGTGTTCAAAAAAAAAGGTGACTTTTTATTTTTCTCAAAAATATTTATTTATTCATCAATATCTATTTTGTCCCCTTCAAAGCAATCCCCCTCAGATATTATACACTTGTGCCAGCGCTTTTTCCAATCCTCGAAGCATTTTTGATATGCGCTTTATGGTATGGTCTCGAGCTCTTCCAGCGATGCGGTCTTTATCTCCTCAATCGTGGCAAATCTCCGTCCTTTCATGGGTCTTTTCAGTATACCCATGATTCGTCACCAGTTATGACCCTTTTGAGCAAATCTGGATCGTCGTTGACGGCATTCAACAGCTCCCGAGTAATGTCTACGCAACGTTGTTTTCGGTCGAAATTCAGCAATTTCGGAACAAACTTCGCCGCCACACGTTGCATGTCCAAAACATCCGAAAAAATTGCATGGCATGAGCCAACCGCTATGCCGACATCCTCAGCAACTTCTCTAATAGTGATTCAACGATTCTCCATAACAATTTTCTTCACTGCTTCAACGTTGTCATCGGTTGTTGACGTGCTGGGGCATCAGGGCGGGCATCGTCATTAACATCTTCTCGACCTTCTGTGAAGAGCTTGTACCACTTGTAAACATTTTTTTTTGCTCAGAGTAGACTCGCCAAATGCCGCAGTCAACATTTCAAATACGTCAGAGCACTTAATTTCATTTTTCACACAAAATTTAATACAGATTCTTTGATCCATCGCCAAGCACACCAAAACACGTCTAACCCTTATATCTGTGAAAAACAAACCAAACATGCAAAACAGCTGATAATGTCAACATATGTTGGGGACATGTGTACCAACATAACAAAAAAAATTCGAAAATCGAATGTACGTAGTCCGCGAAATTTGAAAAGTCACCTTTTTTTTTGAACACACCTCGTATATATATATATACTCTTTACATACATATTGTATATAATTCTTTTAACTTTTGAAATTGTTGATAAATTTAATTATTATAATAGTCATCTTTGTAAAATATAAATATGGCACAAATGTCTAAAATAGTATAATATTCTTTGACTCTTCTATTTTACATTCAATAAATACTATTTTTAGAATATTCTTATCGTAAAATATTAGAATCGTAAAATATTGTTAAAAAAATTCTTTTTTATTAATGTTCAATTAATTGTTTATATTATAGTATTATGTACTGGAGTTAAATTGTAGCTCAAAACTTACACGCCAAAGAAAATATGTTCTTATTTTTATTACGTACATATTAAAATTAATTCTACGCATTCTTAAGGGGTAATGCCACTCTAGTGCCCGAAAAAACAGCCTAATTTTGATAGTTTTATGAGAATATAGTGAATGGAATATAAAATCTGTTTAAAGGTTCTTATTGTACATACTTTGAAGTATATTCACAAATTTTTTTTCAATTTTTTTTTGCAAAATGGCGGTGCCAGAATTCAGCAAAGGAAACCTTTTTTCACGGATAAATACATTGCAGGAAGATAGTTCTATAGTATCTATAGTAACAGCAATGATAATACATACTGAAAATTAATCAAAAAATCTATCAATAATTTGTTACAAAAAATTAAAATAAATTGTACACAAGATACATACATTATACAATTAATTTATTCAAAATATTTAGAATGATCTCATTTTGACATTCTATGTAGATTCATAAAATACTTTTTTTTATTTTATTAGACTTTTTTTACATTAATAGAATATTCACTAAAGAATATCACAGACAATATAAATCTATTCTATAAATATCCTTCAGTGAATATTTTAATGAAGTGAAAAAAAGTAGTTTATAAATCTGCATATAATATCAAAAATGAAACTATGTTCTAAATATTCTGAATAAGTTTAGAGAATATTCTGAATAAGATTTCTCGATTAACAAAAAGAAATGTTCTTTTACATGTATGTTCTAAATTGTACTGTAACATCCCAATCACACTAATATAAATAATTAACATTAAAATAATTTCTTACAAGAAATGAAAATAAATTGTACAAAGTACATTTCTTGTATACAATTCAATTTTGATTTCTTCTAAGAAATTATTAATATACTTTTTTTTAATTTCCTATATGCATTGTCATAACTATAACATAGAAACTGTTATCTTCTGATACAATTTATATTCGAACAAAAAGTGCACGCAATCAACTTATCCTCATATATATTATAGTTGACGTAAGAACACATATTCTTTTATATATATGTTCTAAATTATATTGCACAGCTCTAATCACAACAATAAATTATATTTCTTACAGAAAATGAAAGTAAATGATGTACAAACATCTTGGAAACAACTTAATTCTTGCAGAATATTATCAATGGAAAGAGATTTTTTCATTAATTTCCAGTATGCATTATCATTACTATCATTACTATTAATAAAAAAATTGTTTACCTTTTTGCACAATATATTTAAGATATGTATCTACCCAACTTTATGCACACAGTTGAAATAAAAACAAGTCTTCTTTCGTCTACATTATTTTAAATTATATATATATATATATATATATATATATATATATATATACAGGGTCTACCAAAAGTGTGGAAACCCCTAAATATCTCGGAAAATATACGTTTTACAGAAAAGTGTTTCCAACAAAAGTTGTAGGGTTTAAGAAGATCTATATACTGATTCTATCAGTTTGACCTTGGATGGCGTCGTCAAGGTCAGGTCAAGGTCACATTGACTTTTTTAAATGACACCCCCTACATTTGATTGCATATTCTTATAGCTTAATTCAAGAGCTTTCCAAAACACTATAATAATGTTCATTTTTATTAAGTACTTTGCGAGTTATGAGGGTTGAAATAATTTCTTAATTTTACATAAACCATAAAATATCTAGTAAACCATTCATTTTTCGATTATCTTACCTTCATACTTTTATGTACAAATTAATGAGAGGAATCAATTGGTGTAAAGAAAACACATAGTTGTTTCTAAGAAAAAATATGTAATTTGCAATTAACAATTCCATATTTTTTCTTAAAAACAACTGTATGTTTTCTTTACACCAATTGATTCCTTTCATTATTTTGTACATAAAAGTATGAAGGTAAGATAATCGAAAAATGAATGGTTTACTAGATATTTTATGGTTTATGTAAAATTAAGAAATTATTTCAACCCTCATAACTCGCAAAGTACTTAATAAAAATGAACATTATTATAGTGTTTTGGAAAGCTCTTGAATTAAGCTATAAGAATATGCAATCAAATGTAGGGGGTGTCATTTAAAAAAGTCAATGTGACCTTGACCTGACCTTGACGACGCCATCCAAGGTCAAACTGATAGAATCAGTATATAGATCTTCTTAAACCCTACAACTTTTGTTGGAAACACTTTTCTGTAAAACGTATATTTTCCGAGATATTTAGGGGTTTCCACACTTTTGGTAGACCCTGTATATATATATATATATATTATACAGCGTGTGTCAAAAGTTCCGGGACGGCTGGATAATTTGAAAAATATGCATCACAGAGGAAAATGACCTAGACAAAAGTTGTAGGATTTTTTCCGGGCAATCCGACGATGACCTTAGATTTGACCTTGGATAGTCATTTGAAGGTCACATAAAGATTACCTTCAATTTCTTAAATGGAACCCCCTATTTTTCATTGCATATTCTTCTAGCTTATCTCGAGAGCTTTCCAAAACACTATAATTAAGTACCTTTTTATTAAGTACTTTTTGAGTTATAAGGCTTCAAATAATTTCTTAATTTTACATAAACCATAAAATATCTAGTAAACCATTCATTTTTCGATTATCTTACCTTCATACTTTTATGTACAAAATAATGAGAGGAATCAATTGGTGTAAAAAAAACACATAGTTGTTTCTAAGAAAAAATATGTAATTTGCAATTAACAATTCCATATTTTTTCTTAAAAACAACTGTATGTTTTCTTTACACCAATTGATTCCTCTCATTATTTTGTACATAAAAGTATGAAGGTAAGATAATCGAAAAATGAATGGTTTACTAGATATTTTATGGTTTATGTAAAATTAAGAAATTATTTCAAGCCTTATAACTCAAAAAGTGCTTAATAAAAAGGTACTTAATTATAGTGTTTTGGAAAGCTCTCGAGATAAGCTACAAGAATATGCAATGAAAAATAGGGGGTTCCATTGAAGAAATTAAAGGTAATCTTTATGTGACCTTCAAATGACTATCCAAGGTCAAATCTAAGGTCACCGTCGGATTGCCCGGGAGAAATCCTACAA